GGACAGTGCAGGTGCCTGAATGCTAACATTCCTACCTTTGTTTATTATAAAAAGTGAGTTAGGGATGGTAAGTGGGGACAGGGAATGAGGGCACCAAGTCTTTGAAACTGCTTCCTGCTGACATGTGGGGGTCAAAATCTTGGGAACCTAGAGTGGGGGTGCTGGCAATGATGTCCTGGAGTAGATGGCTGTTTCACTTCTGCCCACGCTCTGTGGAAACATCTGGCACTGCTTGGACCGGGGAAGATGTTGGCAGGACAGAAGATAAAAGTTAAGTTTAGAGAAAAAAAAGTTCTTTAGGTCCTGGTAATTGAGGGAGGGGACATCAAAAGACCAGGGAAGGGGTGGGGGTCGTGCTTATCTGGAGTGAATCTGACTGTTTGGGTGGATCCCAGTTGACTCCCTGGAAACTACTAGAATTCTGAGTTTGGGAAAAGATAAGTTTTACACACGTTAGGAACGGCAGCACACTCACACCAGAGATGATTTTCACCGAAAGCATTAACGCCCTTTCTTCTGTCCAGGAAACTGCGGTAGATGTTTGTAGCACAATGCAAAGGACCTGTTAAGTCTGTAGTTAGAAACCAACTAAGGGAATTTAAAGTCCTGAGCTTGTGGCTATGGTGGTAGTATGGTGTGTGGTTCTTCACCAGCGCTAGGTCACTAGCTTACCAGAATCCCATCCATTACTGTGAAGACTGTCAATTTTTGCAGTCTTAATGTTGTTCCTTTTGGAAACTACAGCTCCCAGATTCCTCCTGGATTACGGACACCTGCGCGCGGGCGCGGACAGGTGCAGGACATTTCTCCCAGATACCCTTGCGCTTCTTTTTAAAAAGCGAGCTCCCACGAGGTCTCGCTCTCTCTTGCCCCTTACCCTTGTGTGTCTTGCACACCTGTCCCTTATCGTGTCTCCCTCCCCCCCATTAAAGTGCACCCACGTGGGAGCCGCGTGTCTGTGTCTTCTCCTTTCGTGTGTGTTTTGTCTGTCCTGTGTCTACACACACACCCGCTTTAAAAGAATAATACTTAATATCACAGTAGCATAACGAGAGAGAGAAACGTGTTTCATTCTTTCAAACGTCTCAAATTGCTTTCTCTTCACTGGCACTTAGGCCTTTCATCCTCAGACCTTCATAACACGCATTCACACACCTTGAGTCACTTTCTTAGACCCTAAAACACTCTGAGATCCTCACATCTTAAGCTGTCTTACCCTCACAGAAACTTCACACCTCAAACACCATCTTTCTATCTAATTCACTAGGGCAGTCAGTGCAAAGTGAGCTCCTTTAAATAAAGGAATGGTAAAGGTTACATTGAAACATGTTTTGAGATTTCACTTTTCTTGAGTCTCGGAGCAAGGGGAACTGAGTCTGGATTTAGTATTAACTCTAGGAAAGTGAGGCCTGTGACCTGAATTTCACAGAGACCTGAGGAAGCAGCTGAAGCCGTGGTTGCTGCTGTTAAACTGACACAGCTACCAGTCCTCAAACGGCATCAGTGTTCTGAGAAGTGTAATGTTTACCTGAGTGGAGGGATTGAAAATGAGAGACTCTTACTTGCTGGCTACCTAGACAGCTACTCCCCAGGGTCCTCCATGCTAGTTGAGGGCAGAGGTTTCAGGGCAACATCAGTCTTCTGCTGTTAGGTCTAGGCCTGCTAGGTCACAGAAGGTCCAACAGGGACGAGGAATTTGATGGAGGACCAGCCTGCCTTTGTCTAGACAACAACTCAAGGCAGTCGACTCCCCAGTGTCCTGTTGCCCACACTCTGAAGAAGGTCTTGGCAGTAGTTGAGGTGAAAGGCAGTTTTTGCTCGGTGACTGGGGCCACTTTTACAGCATGTCCTGGACATGCCTCAGATGGCTGGTAGGTCGTAGTAAATGCCAGGGTAGTCTACCAAGCTTCACACGATGCCAATGTTATAATTTTAAAAGTGGCATGAGAAAGACACCATGCGATGGAGCTCACAAGGAGGTGTTTTTTTATTAGGAGAAAGGGATTGGGGGAAAGTGGGGAGAAGGGGAGAGACCAGCCCCTGGGGACAGGTGTGACAAAAGAGAAGAGGGAGTTGGGGAGGGGACAACATGAATGGGGGGAGAGACAGGGTGACAGGCAGAGAGGCAGAGATAGAGAGTGAGGGACACAAAGGCCTACCTGCCTGCCTCTTCAGAGTAGCAAGGGGAAGAAGGGAGAGGTAACATCTGGAGCTTGTCTCTTAAATGGGGGAAGGGGTGGCACAGGGCACAGAGACAATAGAGTGACTTAGTGGTCATAGGACCCTGGGCTGGCCAGGTTTCTGTCTGAAGGCTCCTGCAAGGTGCCCAAGGGCTAACAGAAGCCCTCTGCCGGCCCCTTCTTTCTCCCCAGGACACTCGCTGCTCTCTTCCTCCCATCCCTCCAGCACCTGCCCTTTGTGGCTCTGGAGCTCCTGCTAAGAGACCAGAAACAGTTCATTTCTTTTCTAAATTAAATTAGAATTTCTTTCATTTATTATATAGGAACAAATTCCCCTGAACCTCTACCCTCCCTTTGCCCTTCTCCTTCCATCTGGTCCCTGTGTTCTCCACACACTTTCACGTTTGTTTGCATTTTGTTTGTTCTTGTTCTTGTCTTCCTCCATTTGAGTGAGAATTACACAGAGCATGACAGTTCCCCGTCATACTTCCTGGAGTGACGCAATGCTCAAAGTCCCAGAGTAGAGCAGTTTAATTCAAAAAACTCGTCCACTTCGGGGCATCAAGTAACCACACCTTGGTTATATATTAGCCAGTTGCTCCCTAAGAGTTTATCAGGGGAGGTTTTTAGCCACCCAATGTATACTTCATTCATCTCTGGAAAGAGAAACAACTGGAAACCTATCACTGCTCTGGCTTTAGAAACTCAGCTCCCAGGACACTGAGTAAGTGAGCCA